AGATGCCGGATTCGGTGCACCCATGAGGTCCTGGATTGAAACCCCGTGATCGGCAGGTCTCAGGACCTCTTCCCTGCACTGCGCTAGCCCGGCCCCCTGTTACGGGCTGAATTGTGTCCCTCACATTTCTATGTTGAAGTCCAAATCCCCAGTACTTCAAAATATGACAGTTTTTGGAGATGGGGCCTTAAAAGAGATCATTAAGTTAAAATGTGGCCATGTGGGTGGCCTGGCCCTGATCCAGTAGGACATGCAGGAGAGACCAGGGATGTGCGCAGAGAGAACACCAAGTGAAGAAAGACCAAGAGGACGGCCACCTGCCCACACCTTGATCTGGGACTTCCAGGCTCCAGAACCGTGAGAAGCTAAAAGTCTGTTGTTTAAGCGGCGGGTCTGCGGTGCTTCGTTCTGGCAGCCGGTGCTGACTCACAAACCCACTTCTGCCGCAGTCCCTCACCAGGTTCAAGCCCGCATGGTCGGATCGGCTCAGCCACTGTCCACATTCACAGCCTCCTGCAGCTTCCACTGCTCGGGTATCCTGGTCCCAGCCTTCTTAGCTGGGCGTCGCTCACCAGACCATTTTATGTTGGCAGGCATGAGGAGACTAGGAGGGCCTTCGGGGACACAGCTGTTCCTCTGCTCGTATCTTACCTGCCTTACCCTCTGGACCATGCAAAATGTTTGTCTTACGAAGCCTTTTGTTCTTTGGTAAATGCATATTAATATAACAGACACATACTTAGAATCCACCGTGTCCCAGCAGCCGCGCAGCTCTGGTCGTAGCAGAGGTGGTTTTAAGAGAAATGCATTAAATAGAGTTGAGTTTGTTTTTCACAAATCAAGATGCATCCACTTGGGGCAAAGTCGTGACATTCAGGTGAGCCTGAAAGTTATGGCTTCTTTCATAGCCAGCTATCCAAGGGCTGAAACCATCGAGCTGCCTGCCTTCTGAGCACTTGAAACAAAAAGGAGGGGAATGTTTGGTACAAAACCCAGCACTTAAAGCCTATGAGGCTTTCAGCTGTGACTCTCACTGTCTCCCCTCCGTCTGGGCAGTTCATTGATCTTCAAACCAGGCAGGCTCCTCAAGGGAGAGAAGATTTAAGATGGAGCAGCTGGCTCGAATCTCTATCAGGTCCGGGAGCCGAGACGTGTCACGTGCAGCTAGTTAGGAACATGTGAACGTCCTTCCATAAGGCTGCAAGACCATTTTGTGTGTAAATCTAAGTTGAGGAAATTATGTGGTGAAATGGGTTTTTTTTTTTTTTTCAAAGTCTGCACTTAGGCTCTTTTCCGAAGAAAATCTGTGTTCACAGCGGGGGGAGATCATGTTTGCGTTAATTTTGAGGGTTTTAAGCAGTAATCAGTATTTTCCGAACTACCAAATCCAGCATGTTTTAGGGTCGTTGTCAATGATTAAAATTAAAACTCGGCTGTTTTAAAACTTTGTTTGAATGCTAACCACTGGAGGCCTGGCGTTAGGTGAACAGAGCATATCGGGATGCTAAAAAATATTAAGTGCAGATCCCATCTCTGTGTGATATTGATTTTTATATAATTTCTGTTTTAGGAAATTGTGAAATCATGTAAAACAGTTTTCACTATGAATTATTTTCTGAAGTCTTTGTGCTAAATGATGAGGCATGACTGTAGTGAGCTGTTTTTTATTATGATATGGTTAATGCTCAGCTGACATGTATAGAAATCGATGGTGAGATGTTTGATTAGGGGCTGTTGAAGGTGGTGTGAGGGCTGGATATTGACTTCAGGTGAGTTTCTGAGGTGCTACCATGATGAGGAAGGAGCAGGAAATCATGTCACATGACCAATGCTTGGAGGATTTCAGGGGGGTGTGCAGCCTGCCCACCTCCACCCCAGAAGAGGGATGCCCCAGGTCCTAGGCAGGAGACACTCTACACTTGACAAGCTGCCAGCCAGGTGGAAGAGGGCATTATTGCAGAGGACAGGCTTGGGTCTGCTGGAAAGCAGTAGGTGTTGGGAAATATTCGGCCAACTGGAAGTTTTCTGGGGACAGGCGCCAAGTCCCTTTCACTAGCTGTTTATTTCAGGATAGGCCATCGCTCCTACTGGGCAGATCCTCAACATATACTGTGCAATTAAACCGAAAAAGGGAGAATGTGGTGAAAAATATGCCCTAAAATTATAACGAGCTAGGACATAAGGTAATGCACTTCCCATCACTGAGAAGTCCAGCGGAAACACTGTTACCTGTGCGTGCTGATGGACAGCAGTGGGGTCACTGGGAGATGAGACCAATTGGTGCTCCCCAGACCTTGCTGATCAGCACTTACCTGGGGACCTGGTTAAAGGTATGGAATCCAGGCGCCGCTCTCTGGGCTGGAGCTGTATGTATTTTTTAAGTGTCTGGGGGTGATTCCAGTGATCAGCTAGGACAAAATGATGACCCCTACGCTTTTCATGTTAATAAAATCTAGAGCAGTGGCTGAGTTTGGTTATTGCTTTGGTGGAGAAGTTGCTGTAATCCACACGTGACTGCAAACCTTTGACAAATTGGTATTTAGTGGACATGTGATATTTGACTGGTCCTGTTCTAGGCACTGAGCATCCAGTAATTGCTACAGTCACCTAAAATCCTGCCTTCTTGGAAGTTACACTTTCGTGAAAGGGATGGACAACAGCATGTTGTAAGCATGGTGACAGATACTGTGAAAGAATTGTGATGGATGCTATGAAAAACATTACCACACAGGCAAAGGAGTGTCAGGGGTAGGGAAGTGTCATGAATTCATTATTATAATGGCCAGGGAAGGCATCTCCAACAAGGGAGCTCTGGAGCAGAGACCTGGAAAAGGTGATTTGGGAGAGCAAGGTGTGTGGGGAGAAGAGCCATTTTTGTGGGATGGTGGCCCCGAGGGAGAAAGGGAGGAGAGGCTTTGGAGCCTGTGAGGTCAGTCAGCTCTTTCAAGGGGATTTACTTTGGAGGAGAACAGAGAGACAGAGCTGTAGTTGGAGGGCAATGGGGGGTGAAGAGTTTGCATTTTCTTTCTTTTTCTTTCTTCTTTTTTTTTTTTTTTTTGAGATGGAATCTTTCTCTGTCACCCAGGCTTGACTGCAGTGGCACGATCTCAGCTCACTGCAACATCTGCCTCCCGGGTTCAAGTGATCCTCCTGCCTTAGCCTCCCGAGTAGCTGGGATTACCCACCATTCCTGGCATATATATATATATATATATATATGGACATGTGATACTTGGCATATAATATACATATGTGTATATATATAAAATATATATATAATATATATATACGTATGTATATGTATATTTTTTTGGTAAAGTGGAACTTCAACATGTTGACCAGGCTGGCCTTGAACTCCTGACCTCAGGTGATCCACCTACCTCAGCCTCCCAAAGTGCAGGGATTATAGGCATGAGCCAGTGCACTTGGTCAAGACTTGCATTTTCTTTCTCAAGATGGGAGGTGTATCGTCCTGTGGGTAAGCAGGGGAAGTGATCCTGGCAGAGGGGGGAAAACCAATGATGCAGAAGAGAGAGGGGCATTAGGGCATGCTGTCTTGAGTGGGCACTTAGTGGGGTGGTCCAGTGCCCACGGAGAGGGGCTGTAGCTAGAACCGTGGATGGTAGCATCTCCACTGCTGCTCCAGCAAACATTTAACCCTCACATACAAGGGCTTTCACACGTATGTTGGAGACTTTGCCAAGGTTAATATGTTGCATTTTTTTCTCCAAGTCTTCTTCATTTTTCCTGTCTCTACAATATCCTGGAAGATCTCTTTATGACTTTTCTATACCATAATAAAGAAAACATCTGTATTTTGCTGGCAATAGAAGCCAAAGAGGGATGCATCTGCCCTTTCTCCTCTGGGTTAGCATTCTTTCAAAATATCTGGACACCATAAAAATGTAGAGGTCAATAGAGATTGAATGTTTTCTTGAGATAAATTTACTTGGAAGGGCTTTAAAAAAGTGTTTTTAGTAGAGAATATCTTTGATCACCATATGCCTATTAAAATACGTTTGTTTTTTTTTTTCCTTGCGAGTTTAAAGTGGGAAAAAAACATCAAAGCCTTATATGAGCCACATAGAAATAGCCTGTTTCTTAAATGGTTGGCCTGAAATTAGCAAAGCGTAGTAAATTGAACACAGTGATTTTTCTGTGTTACACATTCCAAGTTTGGGCTGATCAGATCCCAAGCTAAAAGATTAGTATAAAATGAAGATGAAATTTTAAGAGTTTAAGAAGATTTCATTGTAAAGCTAGGTCACATCATTCCACACTTGGGTGAATACTAGGATTGGTAGATTATCAGTGATCATCATCAACATACTCACATATAATTGTCGTTGTTGCTAAGAAGTGTTTGTACCTTTTCAACACTTAGAAACACATTTTCTGCTTTCAAAGCCCTTCATCATAATCAATATTTTATAATGTATTTTCATAGATGAGATAAATTCAAGTTACTGCAATCATAAGATGGTTACTCCTTGCAATTATTTAGATGTTAAGATTCATTTTTCTAAAATGTGGTAAAATTGCATGGCCATTCAGCAGGTCAGTTTTAAATATAATACGGTTATTATTCGGTCATCTTTATGTGTGATTGAAAATAACAGATTGTGTGATTGGCAATTCACGTCCCCATTAGAAAATTTATCTTTCTACTTCTGTTGTGTTTTATATATTATTAAAATTATTCTGTTGCCTTGAAACTATCTTAAGAAACAGAAGGGCAAGTTTTTTTTTTTAAGTATGTTGAGTGGCCGAGGAGAAATGAAATTTTGAGTGGCAAACCTTATATGAATTGTTTGTAATTGCTTGTACTTAATCCCTCACCAATCCAAAAGCCAATTCTACAGAAACTGAAAACTGTTATGAAAGGGAAAGCTGGTCTTCTGTCTTAACATCGGGTCACAGATTCAGTGGGGAACACTGTATCTTCTTCATCTCCATGGCTCAGGAACATAGTGGCTTATAAATAATGTAAATATATTTCTTTTAGTTCTGGAGACTGGAAACCCAAGATCAAGGTGCCAACAAGGTGAGGGTACAACAAGGGCCCCTTCTGGGCTGCAGACTGCCTGCTTTTCATTGCATCTTCACATGTAGAAAGAGGTGAGAGAGATCCTCTGTCCTTTTTCTAAGGGCACTAATCCCATCCATGAGGCTCCATCCTCATGACTTACTCACCTCCCAAAGGCCCTGCCTCCTAAGGGCACCACCTTGGGGATTAGGATTGCAACAGAACGTGGGGGGCACAAATCAGTTCATAACAACATACAATGGAATATTATTCAGGATTGAAAAGGAAGACATTTTCAGCACCTGCTGTAACGTGGATGAACCTTGAAGACCTTATGCTTTGTGACAGAAAACTGTCACACAAGGACAAGCACTGTATAATTCCATTTATGTGAGGTTCCTGGAGAAGGCAAATTCATAGAGACAGAAACATTAAGGGTGGTGTCTGCAGGACTGGGGAGTGGGGAGTCATTTAATGGGTAACAGTTTCAGTTTGGTAAAATGAAATGAGTTCCTCAGTTGGGTGATGATGATAGTTACACAACAATGTGAATGTGCTTAGTGCCATTGAACTTTACCTTGAAAAAAGGCTAAGACAGTAAATTTTAAGGTATGTGTATTTATCACATTTTAGAAAAAAATGAATCTTAATATCTAGAATAATTACGGGGAGTAATCATCTTATAATTGCAGACAACTTGAAAATCTTGCCCGACGCTGCAGCAGGTGTATATGCATTATCTCTCTTTTTTTTTTTACATTTATTAAAAATTGTGACAAAATTTGAATGTTGGCAACCGGGGTAAAGTTAACTATGTTCTTTTTCTGAACGTTCAGGTTTGAAGTGGCTGTTCAGTTGCTGTCATCAATTCTTGAGCAAAAGGGAACATTTAGTGAAACTCCAGAAACATCTTGAGAACTAAGACATTATACCTTTGATAAGAATTTATTTAAACCCCTTTAGGAAATGTGCAGAAAGAGCTGATTTTTAGGTAAAATGACATGTCCTAAAATTTTTGGAAATGCGTAGTGGGTTCTTGGGGGTTCTTTGGGAGTGGCTTTGGTTGTCTCTTGCGAAAGGAAAAAAACTACCCCTATTCATAGAAATGTTATTCTCCTTATCCTCATCCCCAACTGTCATCAGAGTATGAAGGTCAGAGATCTTTTGTCCTTTTTAATAGTTTGTTTTCTTAAAAGTGGTTGAGTGTGAATTTCCTCTTGCGTGGGAAAAGGATCATTGTTTTTATTGGCATCAGCGAATGCTCTCACACATGACTGTTTAAATATGCCTTCATTCCTTGGTCAGTAGAACGGCATCCTGCTAGAAGACAGATTGTGTAACCTCAGAGGCTTTCAGGGAAACTCCACGGTCCCAGGGAGAGTGTGGGACAGAGGCATCCTGTACAGAGGAGGCACCCCTTGTTCTCTTTCTCTGCCTCCCCAACCCTGCCCCATTGATTTCCCTCCTGGTGGAATCTCTTCAGAGGGACCCTTGGAGCAGAAGAAAACATCCAGCCCACCTGTTACTGAATATCCCCTGTTGCAAAGGAGCACAGGCTCTCTGGCCTCCAGCCCACATCTGCGGAAGCTTGGTTGGAGTGAGGTTGCTGATGGCTGCTCCCCTTTCAGTCCACGTTTGGTTCCTGCATCCAAGAGGCAGAGTGAGAATCAGACCCTGGACAGTGGCCATCCCTGAAGGCAGCACAGTCATGCATGGCCTCTTGGCAAGCAGCCCGCGCTCTCAGATGGGACACCTGTCTCCAGGTGTGCTGCTCTGTGGCCCCGATTCAGTGGTGACATTGCCTGATTCCGGCCCTGGTTCTGCCTGCCACTAGCCAGGCAGCCCTGCACCAAGCTCACACCACTAGGGCCTTAGGAAGGGAGAGGCATGTAGGTAAAACCCCTTAAAAACTTAGTTCTCAGCCATGATGGGACAGGAGATCAGACACACCTTGCCATACTTTCTCCCTTTTATAGTTTAGGTACAACGGATGACCATTACTAATGTTAAAATAGAGAACAGGACAGACTGTTGGTGACAACAAGATACAAACTTATAAGCAGGACCTCAGGCCACGCCAGGTAAGGGTCGAGCCGCGTGTCCTGCACTTGAAGAATGGACTCTGCCCTCACACCACAGCATCTTCTTTTTCTCCAGCAGCTCAACACGCACTGGCCCCGAGATTCAAATGACTGCGGCTCATCCACCCACAGACGCCAGCTGACCCCCTTCCACAGCCACAACTACAGCTCTGATAGGGCAGGAGACTCCAGGAGCCTCCTTCTGATAAGAGGCCCCTGACCATGGACTGGCCCTGGCCAGTTTACAGAGGCTGAGCTCCTTCAAGTCCTGAAAAGACCTTTTTGACGTTTAGGGCCTAATTGTGATACATTTCAATGTTAAGACTCCACCCCAGAGTGAACATGGGAGGCATGTAACATGGATGTTCAATATGCATGTGTCAGGGCCACCTTCATGAATATTTAGAGTTCCTCCTGTAACCTGCTGAATATGTGTATTTGGCCAACCCATTCAGTATAAAGCTCCTTCCCCAACCCCTCCTCTTTCAAAGTGCCTGTCTCTGGTCTTGGACAAAAAGCACACTTCCCAGACTGTGTGATGGCTGCCTTGCACCTTTATAAGAAGGTATTTTCTCCTTTCCAAATGTATAAATATTGTGTTGAATTTTCTTTTAAGTGAACACTGCTAAACGCTAAGCATTGGGTAGAGAACCACCACGTTCCAGAACCAGGCAGCCAAGCCGCCACCATCCACTTGGCAGTTGTGGTTTTCCCAAAAGGAGCCTGGGTATCCACGCGTCTCTCAACATGTGTCTTTCTAGTAGGAGCCTGTGCAGCAATAGCGAAATGGCTCGCACACCCGCACACGTGCACACACAGCCGGAACAAATTGTGTAATCAAGCTCCTCTTAGCTAAGTTCCGTAACATCTGTTTGTGTTAAGTGGTGCTCTTTGAAAATGATTTTTCCCCCTCCTTTATAAAAACAACCTTAATTTTAGGTTATGGAGAAATGGCGCGTGGCAATTATTTTTGCTGTCTTCAACAAGATGTGTTTAAGTAAATGAGATTCATTTCTAGAACTGAAGTGCTGAAAGAGCCTGATTAACGGAATCAGTGCCTACAATCACATGTAATAATTGTGGGCAAACAGCCCCACGTGGCTGGGCTGCAGAGGCCACCGCTGCTGCGGGTTCAGCTTGCTGGCAGACTTCAGCAGATGAGCTGCTAATATAATTAGGAATCGTTGTGTTAAATGAGCCATTATTTAAATTATCTGCTAATTTTCCTATCTATTAACCTGCTGAAAACGAGAGAGTAATATCAGAAATCTCAGGCTGCTAATCACTAACTAGATGAATCACCCAGTTTTTCCCTTTAATGCAACATTTTACCTTATTGCAGCAATTAGCAAATGGCTTTCTGTAGGGTTATTGCCCAATGCATCAACCAGAGGTTAAGAAGGGACAGTGGGAGACGTCCCCAGTCTGTTTGGGTTTCATCCAGGTGGCAGATCGGTGGCTAGAACATGGCTTCTAGCCTAGGAGGCAACTGGCTTTCTCCACCACTGTTTTCTTGTTTACGTCACAGTCTCTGAGTTAAAGCATGTTTGGCCTTTAGAAAGCTTCTGTTATTCCATTTGGGCTGCTATAACAAAATACCTTAGATTGGGTGGCTTATAGATGGCAGACATTTATTTCTTACAGGTTTGGAGGCTGGAAGTCCAAGACCCAGGCACTGGCCGATTCAGATCTAGTGAGGGCTTCATGCTTCATAGAAACAGTGCCTTCTCTCTGTCTCCTTACGTGGCAGAAGGGATGAGAGTGCGCGCTTAGGTACTTTTGTAAGGGCACTAATCCTATCTCTTAGGGCCCCACCCTCATGATCTAATTGCCTCCCAAAGGCCTTGCCTCCTAATACTGGTACATTGGGAATAAGGGTTCATCATACAAAGTTAGGGTTTGGGGCACAGACATTCAGACCATAGCAGAGCATAAGGTGAGGACTGTGTGAGTAAGCCTTGTCTCACTCTACCTACCTGAGACACTGGTAGGGGGCAGCGAAGTGAAGGAGGGAGGAAGGGAGGAGGAGGTTGGTACAGGGTGCACTCAGAGTGGGCTATTGCAATGCACATCTGGGGCTCAACTCCATTAAGGACTTTTGGGGGATGGCACAGAGACCACTCCATACTGTTTGCCTGGGGAGTAAGGGAGCAAGGGTTTGAATTCACCAGCTGTTTATTTTTGGATGAGGGCTGCTCCCAGGAGCATTCACGCCCTGGCACATCAGACCTAACTTGGACACTAGATAATCTTACTCCTGAGGTTACAGAAGCTGAAGTGAGTGCCCAAGGAATATGCGTAGGCCACCAGCAACCTCTGCTGTCCTCTCGCTTCGAGCTTTGCTTACATTTGGACATTTAAGAGACAAGTTTCTGATTACTTATATAGCAGCTGGGAAGTTGACCAAGTTTAGCCTGCCCTAGCCACATCTAGAAAATCTAAATTAATTCTTTGCACACATGCTTTAGGAGTTTGGCCTGTTGAACTTTCTCTAGCTGCTTCCAACATCTTGGCAGGTTTGTTGACCTCACTGGCTTTTTCTCTGCTCCCATGTGGGGCTCGTGAACATGTTTCCCCATCTTAAGGAACAAGGTTTAGTGAGTTTCTGTTAGTTGTAGGCACGACGGGGACCATCAAAAAGAGACTAAGAAAAAGAGCTGTGTCCTTAAGGAATTCACAGGCTCATTGACAGGAAAGATAGGCCACTGGGAAAAGTTAGAGGACAGTAAAACCATGAGACAACCCTGGGCACCGAAAATCAGGGCATGAGCTGTTAAGAGTGAATCGGAGCTGCAGCTGGGAGGCCTCCTGGGGAATGCAGGTCTCAGCCGGGGTCTCAAAGGCCACCGCCTGCGTTTATCGTTTACTCTCAGCCAGTGGGAAGAAAGGGTTAAAGGTGGCTCCTCCTTGCATCAAAACAAAATAAGAAATATAAAACCCCACAAATTATGCCATTTAAAAAAAATGAGTTAGTTTTGTCTGGGCAGGGCCAGGCATGGGGAGAAAGTTTTGACTGTTTCCAAGAACAGTTCTAAAGGACTCTTCCTGAAGAATTCTGTAGCTTCAGATTGCTCCAGGATCAGCCATTTTCCTTGTCCAGAGGTTTTGGTTCCACGGGATGCTGTGGACTGTGTGTGTCCAGGAGCCGAATTCAGTTTACTGCTTTCCCACCTCACTGGCTGAAATTGCACGTGGAAGCGGCGCTAGTGTTTATTTGCTCACTCGCCGTGAGCCAGCACTGTGAGGAGCTTGTGTCAGAGCATTTCCTGCTCACAAGCGCCCCATGAGAATGGTCATCGCCCCCTTTCCTAGAGGAGCATGCAGAGAGGCCTGGGGAGAGGAACCTACTCAGGGCACCGGCACATGAATGGGGAGGGTGATCGGACCCAAGTCCTGTGCGAATTCAGTCATTCTGCTCGGTGAAGTGTGGGCAGAATTGTTTTCAAGGGGCTTGTGCCATAGGAGGATGTTCACCTTCAGAACATGTCTCGTTCCCGCCCGCCTGTGCTGTGTGTGTAATGGCCGTCCCTGTTGTGTAGTTATTTTGTAGAATCTGGTTGTGCGGTTTTGGGTGGGGCTGCTGGAACTGCGGCATCTCGTCAAGGAAGTCTATGCCAAAGACGAACAGTTTTCATTGTGGGGGCATAGAATTCTCACACATCTTCTGGAATAGATCATCTAAACTCTTTTACTCTCAGATTTCATGTATAATTGGTAGGTGTTCAAGAAGTTTGTTTTAGAAATGAACAAGCCACCTTCCCTTTGCCTGGAACGTGCATTTCTCCCATTTGCTCTTCACTGTATGAAAGTCTCTCTAACCTTGACTTTCTTTTATTCATTCAACAACTGTTTAGTGAGCACTACTATGCTCCCAGGCACTGTCTGACATGCTGTTGATAAAGAGATGAGCCACATGTGGCCCCATTGTCAGCTCTCATGAAGGACACACTGTGCTGAGGACATTGTCTGGAGAAGACAGATTCCTGTATGACAGTGAGGCACCCAGGACATGGGCACAGAAGCCTTGGAAACACCATATACGGTTAGAGGAACAGGTATGGGGGCCAGAGACCAGAAGGAAGGACTGTGGTGGGCAAACCAGGAGGGGGCATTCCCAAAGCTTCACTGAGGGGCTGGTCACTTGCAGTCAGCACTGCCTGCAGGCCGGACAGGTCAGGGGAGAGCTCAGAGGTGACTGTGGGCCTGGAGCATGGAGGTCGCTGGTGAGCTTGGCTGGCCATGGAGAGCTGAGGCAGAAGGCCCATCTCTGCAGATGGAGGAGAGAAAGGGAGAGAGAAATTGAGACGGCAGGTGGCCCACTGCTGGATGCCTGACCGCGAATGGGGAAGGACCAGTAGCTAGAGGGAGTGTGTTTTGGGGTTTGTCGAGGAGAAATTCGCCACTCAGCTCCTGCAGCTCTACCTTCTTAGGTGTCTTGCAGCCTGGATCACAGACGGTTTTTAAGGGCAGGTCCTGGGGGACAGGCCACTCCCCCTACTGGATTCTGCACTCTGCAGGGGCCAGGGCACGGTCTCCATCATCTTCTCTGCTCTCACCCAATGCCCCAGGCTCAGCACAGCAAGGACCCGCATCTGCCCTGCAAAGGCCCCCGAGGCCCCGATGTTGACGGCAGGGCTGGAGTAGTTAAAAGCCAATGATTATCAGGGTAGAAGACTCTAGCTTCTGCTGGAAAACAGGATTTTGCTGGTTGTTATTGTGTTCTGGAGAAATGGAATGTGAGTTCTCTGGGAGGCTTCCTAGTATCAGGAAGGAAGCAGGGAACAGGGGTCAGGACTTCAGGATCTCCCTGGGCCCTTTCACGTCTCCAAGCCATTTGTTTTCTCAGTTGTAAAGTGGGGATCTGTCTATCTTATGTGCTTTTGAGTCATTTTAAGTTTTACTCTGAAAGTTCAGAACATTCCCTGAATTTGAGAATACGTATTTTCAATGTAATATTCATTTTTCAATATGTAATTTCAATAGGTAGCTGGAATGACATGGCCCGGGGCTAGGCTGGTGTGTGTGTGTTTGTGTGTGTGAGCACATGTGTGCATGTGAGCTTGAACCCAAAGAGGCAGGAAATAATTTTGGAAACTCCTAGAATAAAGGCAGAGGCAGATTAAGTTGCTAGCATGTTGCGTGAGGTGAGGAACCTGGAAGAAACCCGCAGCGGAGTGTTGGAGTTTTCTGTTGTTTCAGAGTGCCTCTTGTGAAATTTGTAGAGCAAGTGACATTACTATTTTTTGTCTCTGTGGTTGAGGCTACTTGCAAAAGTGGTAATGGTCTTGGGTAGAATTCAACCCGAGAAAGGTCCATTTCCAACGTCAGCATGCAGAAAATGGTGTTGGCTTCTGTGGACTGCTCAGACACATGAGGTGATGCACAGCCCAGAGCATTTACTGGCCCCCGGAGACTCATCTCTTGCCTGACTTTGTGGCCGCCTTGTTTATCTGGGGCCATTTCTCTCAGATCATATACTCTAGGAACGACCGTCGTGGTGACTGGCTTTGCCGAGCCATGGCTCTGAATTGAACCTTCTCGGAAGCTAGCTTTTGGTGGAATCAC